GGGGATGACGGATCAACGCGAGGAGCAAAGAAGGGTTTCAACCGAGAAGTGTGGACATACCAATGGTGCGACCCTGCCCGGATACGTGCGCACTGAGGACTAGATATCTCGATCAATTCCACAGGACCTTGCCAGGGTCTGTGCAGCTTGGGAGAGATACCCACCGGCACCTGTGGACAATGGAGCCAGGCCCGGTCCCCTACAGCCCATGGCATAGCGCGTTGCGAGTGCTTAGCACACCGCTCGTTACGGGCCTGGGTTTTAGACGTGGCAATCCGTGCCGCATCCCGTGCCACCGTGACGTGGCGAACCGTGTCACGAACGTATTCGGGGAGAGTCAGCACGGGCTCCTTTGCGTATGCGCCCAACTGCACATCAACGGGCGGCATGTTTTCACGTCCATATATGAGGAAGAAGGGTCAGTACCCAGTGGACGCGTGCGGTGCCATCCGGCAGGCGGAGAGCACCCCAGGGATGTGCAAATCCCAATCGGCCTGCTTCTCGCTAACCATATGGCAGAGCACAGCCGACAGGGTACGGTTCAACCGCTCAACCATCCCATCCGTTTGTGAGTGGTAGGGTGAAGTACGTACTTTCCTGGTGCCCACACACATTACGCAACAACTTAGATGAGAAGTTGCGGCCCTGATCCGTAAGCAGCCGTTCGGGCGCGCCCTTGTCCATCACGTACCCGTACAAAAATGCCTCCGTGATAGATGACGCCAACTGATCGGGCAAGGGCTAAGCCACCGGCCACCGCGAGAAATATTCTACACCCACCAACAGAAATATATTACCCCGGGCGGATGGGGGAAAGGGTCCGAGGATGTCCAGAGCCACCAGCTCGTTAATGCGCGTCACCTGGATCGATTTCAAGAGCGGAATATAACCCCGTTTCGGTGGCTTCCGACGAGCACACTCGGAAGAGGCCTGAATGTCCTTGGCGACATCAGCCGTCATGCCATGCCAAAAAGGTTTTCTGTAAGCCGAGATCTAACAACTTCTCGGCGTGCAGTACCCGAATCAATTCGTACCGAAGCGCGACAGGAACCACCAGGCGCCAACGGCCCAGCAAATCATTCCTCCACATCAACAACCCGTCCCGGAGGGCCGCCTGTGGGGAATCGTCCGCAGACGAGGACACCCGCGGCCTGCCCGCCTGACCTCGCAATGAACTCAATGAATCGACCAACAGTTGCTCGCGGACCAATACCGAACGCGGAAAGTTCAACACCCCGTCAGCCGGCTCAGGGCAGGCCGGGCCCGTGGAATCCGCCATCGCAGACATGACCGGCCGAAGGGGCTGAGGGGGGCGCGTGTACCGATTAGTGCCCGAGGCGCACGCGCAAGAGGATTTCTGCGATAACCTGGAGAGCGCAGCCACGTTACCATGACGAGAACCTTTACGGTAATGTATATCAAATGAGAATTCCTGCAACGTCTCCAACCACCGCGACAACTGGCCAGAGGACTGTTCGATCTTCAAGGAATATTGCAAGGCAGCATGGTCTGTGCACACTAGGAATTTCCTACCGTACAGGTACGGGCGATATTGGCGAATGAAATGAACAATCGCCAATAATTCCCTACGGGTTACACAATAGCGGGTTTCAGCCGACGAGAGAACGCGGCTAGGAGAAATCAGGGTAATCAAGCGTCGGCGCGGTCGACAATCGATCTCGAAGGTCCCGGAACGATTTCTCCTCCTCCGGTCCCCATTTGAACCTTTGATTCTTCGCCGTGAGGAGGTGCAGCGGTCTAGCGATAGTAGCGAAATTCGGCACGAATCGACAGTAGTAGGATGCGAACCCGACAAACCGACGTACCTCCCCTACCGAGGTGGGGGTCGGCCCGTCCCGGATGCATGACGTCTTGTCCGAGTCCGTGGCAACACCGTCCGAGCTGACATGTCCCAAATAACGCACGGAGCGTTGCAAGAGGTAGCACTTTTTAGGTTTGAATTTGAGATTTGCGGAACGCATCCTGTCGAAAACAGCCTTCAATCTCTGAAGGTGTTCCTCGAACGTACGACTGAACACAATGACGTCGTCTAAGTATATCAGACACGTGTCCCATTGTAACCCAGTCAACACTAGTTCCATCAACCGCTGGAACGTGGCGGGAGTGGCGTTCAGTCCCATGGGAAGGCAGTTAAACTGGAATAACCCCTGAGGCGTATGGAACGCCGTTTTTTCCTTCGACGAATCGTCGAGGGGAAGTTGCCAAAACCTAGAGGAGAGATCGAGGGTGAAAAAGTATTGTGCTCCCGACAAGGCATCGAGGGAGTTATCCATCCGTGGCAGAGGGTACGTGTCTGCCACCGAAATTGTATTAAGCTTCCGGAAATCAACGTAGAATTGGAGGCTAACTTTTTCTTTACGAGGACAACGGGAGCGCCCCACGGGCTATTCTATGGAGAGATAATGTCAGCGGCCAGCATATCATCCACCACGCCGCGTCCATGGTCCCTCTCCGAGGGAATTAGCCGGTGCGGATTCATTCGTATAGGGCTCGCCCCACCAGTATCAATGTGATGGGACAACAGTGAAGTGCGCCCCAAGTCGAAATCGTTCTTGCTGAAAACGTCGGAATAATTGGACAACAGTGCTCGAAGTGCGCTTCGTTGATGCGTGGTCAAGAACGAATTTTCCTGACACAACTCGGCGATCCAACGATCGTCCGACGTCCCACGAGACTCAATCGCCGCCGCAAACCCTTGCTGTTGATCCCCATCGTGGACCGTAAACGCGGTAGTGGCATGAGCCAGAACCGTACTGGCGGTGACCAAAACGCCTTCCGACCCCCCGTTCAAAACTTGCAAAAACGGGGGTTGACCGGGCCGGACGATTGTCTGGGCCCCCACCAGCGCAAGACCCTTGGTAGTGGTGTTAGACATGGACAGCAGCACGCCTGCCGCCACGTCCATCCCGCGGAATTGTTTCCGGTACCGCAACGGGACGAGCATTTGGGAGCCTGGAGGAATTTCCACTGAGACATCGACAAGCACCTGCTCCGCAATGCACAGCGCAGGATGACTCAACGGGGACGGCAAAAAAAATCTTACATCCCGCAGGCAGCTCAATGCAGCCCTGATCAACGAGGATCTTAACCAGCATTTTATAGAGAAAATCGGTACCCAATAAACAAGACACTGCCAATGACCTGGAAATTAAGACCGTTCCCGATGCCGCAACGTTCCCGATGGAAACATGCGCTTCGACCTGACTCACAATGCCCATACTACCCCCGTTGGCAGCAATACATGCATCGAAAGCCGGCCGCACGCGTGAAGCGTGGATGGAAAGGAGGTGGCATATGACATCGGAGATGATAGTGGCCGACACGCCCGTGTCCACCAATCTCCGCATGTCCACCCCTTGAATAGAGCCCGGCACCGTAGAGGACCCAGTCGCGGCCGCCACCACACGACGTGCCAACTTCCTCCACTGAGTAACCTTATGAGGCGAATCGTAGGTGGCCCCATGTGAGTTGCGAACAGAAAGATCATACGCGGCCGAGGATGCATGAGGTGACAAAACTTGCCGGGTGTCTGATGCATACCGACTTGCCTGGATTGGGTCACAGCTCGTCGATGGTGGTGGCGCCAGAGGTGGGGATCCAGGAGGAGGCGCGTTTGGTGGGGACGACTCCGACAGTCCCGTGCAAAGTAACCTGGCCGGCCACACCTAAAGCACACCATGCCGACTCCCCGATTGGCACCACCGACGTCCCGAACCGCCGCCGACGAAGCACCCGAACGTGACTCGGCCCTCTTCCTCGGAACCCGGTGGCCTGCAGCGGCAGCCAGGTCCCCGGTCCCCGCGTCGTCCGGATTGTGGACAACCCTTGATGGCACCCATCCCGTTGGTTGACCGTCCACAACAGGGTCGCCCGTCCAGGCGGCCATCTGCACCCAGCGGTGCAAGTTGAACTGGGAATCAAGGAATTTGGCGGCCAACCGGGAAGTAAGCGGTTCATGGCCACACACCGGCATTGGAATGCCGAGTTCCTTGGACAGCTCCAACATCTTGCACAGGATGAGGGGGTCGAGCATGTCGGGCTTAGCGTCAGAGTAGGCAGCCATCGCAAGCACCACCAGGGCTCCATGGTAGGCGATGGGAGATTCATCTGCACCTCGCTGACGCTGCACAAACTTGTGGTGAGTATCCGACAGTGCCTCATAAACTTCAGCCATTTCGGCAAATGCCCCCCGCAATTTCGTCTTCTTTTCAACGGGAATGGAGCAGAATACTGTGAGCGATATGTCATCGAGGAGTGTAGGCAAGGCATCCAACGTCTCCTCCGTCCATCAGATGGAGTGAAAAGCGGACAGGAAACGCCAAGCGAAAGCGCTCCAGTCCCCTCCCGCGCTGAATTCTTTGATGTTCGAAAGACGATGGCTGCGCCCCGCGCCGCTGTCCCCACCGGGCCCAGGCTCCCGCACCCACGCTCCACGCGGTGCCGCCAAAATGGCGGGCTCCAGCTGCGCACCCACGGACCCGCCCAAGATGGCGTCGTCATGCCACGTGGCCGCAATGGCGGACAGCCTTCCCAAGGCCGCTATGGTGGCCGATCCTTGCCCGAGGGGACTCTCCGAGACCCCCCGAGGGGGTCTTGCTCGTCACCACTCAGCAGCGTTCCTTGCGGACGTCCTGGCGCGGCGGACGGCACGACCAGCGTCACCAGGTTGAGTAGGACAGCAGGCAGCGAATAGATCTGCTCCGCCATATGCCGCCAGCCGTCGCCAGCGCCTGGGGACGAAGATGGCTCGGCACCGACGACCTTCTCCGGCACCTTAGCAGAGCCGACCGTAGCCGCCGCGTCCGGGCCCACCGCCCCTGGGATCGCCAGGTCCTGGGTGAGTGAGTCATCGTTGTCGGAAGACGGCGTAGGCGGAATTTTCTTCTTGAGATGCTTGGACATGTCGTCCAACGTCAAGAATCACTTCTGACCCTAATTGTAATAAATCAGGTCGACGACAAGCGACTGTGTCTCCGTGTTTATTTCTTCGTTATCTGGACAGCTCGCATTCCGCTCTCTTCTGTCGTTCCGCGGCGCGTCGCGTGAGCTGGCGTCCCGCTCTTGCGCTGCTCTCTCTTTCTCTCGCTTCTCCGCTCCTGCGCACCGTTGGCAGACGGCGCGCTGAGAGCCATCTCCTTCTCCGCTCCCGCGCACCGTTGGCAGATGGCGCGGGAGACTGAGAGCCATCTCCGCATCGCCACGTGGCTGATGGCTCGCGGAGAGCTGCGACGTGGCCCAGCTTCCAGCCCCTTACCAACGGACCCCGAGCCTCTTCCGGCTTTCCTTTATATCCCTTTCCCGTGTCACCCAGACCCCGCATTTTATCCCCCGCCCTTCGCCACACCCCTTAAGAACTTTCCAGATAATACCACCTCCTAACGCCCGCGGGCTCCGCCCTTGAACTCTGCCCCCGATGGTTCGTGTCGCCTGGTTGGCTTAGAGCAGGGGTCCTCAAACTACGGCCCGCGGGCCACATGCGGCCCGCCGAGGACATTTATCCGGCCCATGGTCACTAATTGGGCTGCGCTTGTGAGCACTAATTGGGCTGCACTGGTGAGCACTAATTGGGCTGCGCTGGTGAGCACTCATTGGGCTGCGGTGGTGGGCACTGATTGGGCTGCGGTGGCGAGCACTGATTTGGCTGCGCTGGTGAGCACTGATTGAGCTGCGGCGGTGGGCACAGATTCAGCTGCGGCGGTGGGCACTCATTGGGCTGCGCTGGTGAATGGTTCAATGGGCTAATTGACTGGACTTGCCTCCCAGGCCTAAGGCTGCCAGCCCTCCCCTGGCTGTGCTTGACTGGCTCTCCCTCCCTCAGCTCCCTCACTTGCCCCTCGGCTCCACTCCCAGTGATATTCCTGTGTGCTGGGGATGTACTGCGATCTGTGAACAAAGCTGCAGGTGTAATTAACTTTTTAATGGCACCCGCACCAGTGTGAGCCTGGGGTAAAAGCGGAGTTCCCCCAATCAGACTGCATTGATGGGCAGTGCAGTCTGTATGTCTCTGTGTGGGCAAAGTTATTGCTGGTATATTGTTTTTGTAGCGCTGTATATATATTGGTATTTTACTAATAGCAATTTTGACTCCCTAGGAAACAATGATGTCAAGAAAGAGAAAAATTGACTCGGAGTGTAGGATATTCAAAGAACAGTGGACTTATGATTACTTTTTCATGCAGTACAAGGAAAGAGCTGTGTGTCTGATATGCCAGAATATAGTGTCTGTGTTCAAAGAATACAATTTAAGTCGACACTATGAAACTCAACATAAAGATAAATATGATTGTTTGGTCGGAGAAGTGAGAAAAGATAAAATATTAAAACTGACAAATACATTAACAACTCAGAAAAATACTTTTGTGAAGCAGAAGCAGCTAAATATTTCATCACTGCGAGCAAGTTTTCAAGTTGCCAAGCTAATAACGTGCACTGGCAGACCATTCGTGGAGGGAGAATTTGTTAAAGAATGCCTTCTTTCTGTTGCCAAAGAGATGTGTCCAGAGAAGGCCGATTTATTTAGTACAGTGAGTCTTTCAGGACCTACAATTACACGGCGGATTGAAGAAATGGGAGACAATTTGCATCAGCATTTGCAAAACTCTACAAAAAAACTTTCCTATTTTTCCTTGGCACTCGACGAAAGCAATGATGTTCGTGATTCTACACAACTTATCATTTGTATTCGTGGAACGAATGACTATTTCGAAGTCACAGAAGAGCTTGCTGCACTGCAAAGCATCAAAGGAACAACTACAGGAGAGGAAATCTATGAAAAAGTTTGCCAAACTGTGAATGGTTTGGAGCTGAACTGGGCTAAACTAGCCAGTGTGACAACTGATGGTGCTCCTAGCATGGTGGGGTCTAAGAAAGGAGTAATTCTTCTTGGTTCTTTCGGTAAAGTCACGTAGAAGGGAAGTAATAAAATAATAAAAATAAAACATAATGTTTTATTATGTTTTATTTTATTTTTATTATTTTATTACTTCCCTTCTACGTGACTTTACCGAAAGAACCAAGAAGATGAATCCCTGCAGTCACGAAAGCTTTAAATCGAAAGGAGTAATTGCTCGCATTAACCAAGAGATGGACAAACATAACCATTCTCATCCAATAGCCATACACTGCCTCATCCACCAACAAGCGCTGTGTAGTAAATCACTGAAGTGGGACTCTGTTATTAAAATTGTGGTATCTTGTATTAACTTCATTAGAGCTCATGCACTAAACCACAGACAATTTCAGGAATTTCTGTCTGAACTAAATGTTGACTATGAAGATGTTCTGTACCACACAAAAGTCCGTTGGTTGAGTCGAGGGAGAGTTTTGAAACGTTTCTATGACTTACTTCCACAGATTACAGCTTTTCTGCTTTCAAAAAACAAAGAAGTACCAGAGCTCAATGATGCAGAATGGAAATGGCACCTTGCCTTTCTGACAGATGTAACAGAGCTACTCAACAGTTTCAATGTGCAACTTCAAGGAAAGGGGAAGCTCATCTGTGATATGCAATCACATGTCAAAGCATTTGAAGTAAAATTAGGCCTCATCAAACAAGTTAAGGAGGAAAACTTCTGCCATCTCCCCACAACTCAAAATCTGTTAGCGAAAAACCATTGGTTGCAATTCCCAAACAAAACATGTGTGGATTCACTGGAAAAATTGCAAAAGGAGTTCCAATTTAGATTTAAAGAGCTTCATCTCCATGAACAGGACATATAGCTTTTCCGTAACCCATTTTCTATTGACATTGAAAATGTGGATACAATTTACCAAATGAAACTGGCTGAACTGCAGAATTGTGACTCTCTAAAAAGACGCATTCAAGTCAAGCAGCCTTCATAATTTCTATGCATCTCTCCCCTCTGACCCATATCCTCATCTCAGGAACCATGCACTCAAAATGGCAACCATCTTTGGCAGCACTTATGTCTGTAACAGACTTTTTCCAGAATGAAACATTTGAAATCTCCAACCAGATCTAGACTAACGGATGCACACTTGCATCACTTGTTACGACTAGCAGTGACAAATATGGAACCGGACATTGACCATCTCATTAGCCAAAAGCAGACCCATAGTTCCCATTGAAATACTGGCAAGTTTGTTGATTTAACTTTACTTCTTCATTTTAAATATTGTATTTGTTCCCGTTTTGTTTCTTCACTTCAAAATAAGATATATGCAGTGTGCATAGGAATTTGTTCATAGTTTTTTTTTTAACTATAGTCCGGCCCTCCAACGGTCTGAGGGACAGTGAATTGGCCCCCTGTTTAAAAAGTTTGAGGACCCCTGGCTTAGAGGCTGAGGCGGCGAAGCCCACCCAACCAGCCGGCGATCCCCCAGCATACGCTCACATTACACTTTGACAATTTTTGCAGAATTTGCCCTAGCCGCTGTCCAAGTTACTTTATGGAATGTAAATTGACAGATATGTAGGTAAAATGCATCCATCTTTAGGTTATCTACTGGCAGTTAATAGAGTAATTCAGTAAACAAACCTCTTTCACAGTTGCTTTCATCAGATCCATCGCTACAGTCAGTTTCTCCATCGCAGACGTAGAGTGGGTCCAAACATTCGGTGTTACTGTTATTGCATTTGTACTGATTCGGAGTGCAAGCTGCAAAAAGAAATCTCAATTAAATCCTTCCTATAAATGATACCGATATTTTCATTGAAACATGGAATTCTTAACTTAAAGTATACGTCCCATGTTTTAACTCACTGCAGTTGCTTTCGTCTGAATAGTCTCCACAGTCGTTGACTCCATCACACACGAACACTATTCCAAGGCAGGTTCCATTGCCACAACGGATTTGATCTGAGCGGCATTGGCAGTTTGGAGTCTCATCACTCTGGTCTGCACAGTCAGGCTCCCCATCACAGTAAAAATGTCCAGGGATGCAATGCTTCTTATCGGCACAGCGGAACTCACTGTCAGAACACTCTGGGATGACAACGATAAAAGGTTAAATATTGGTGAAATGTTATACTTGGGCATTTATTAATTTGGCCTCTCACCATACCAAGTTGCTTAGTGGTACATCAATTTCCAGATATATAAATAAAACACATCCATGTTCAGGTTATCCAAATGTCAGTTATTTTTTTCTGAAACAAACCTTTTTCACAGCTGCTTTCATCAGATCCATCGCTACAGTCAGTTTCTCCATCGCAGATGTAGATCCAGTCCAAACATTCAGTGTTACTGTTATTGCATTTGTACTGGCTTGGAGTGCAAACTGCAAAACACAACATCAATTCACGTCTTCTTTTAAATTATACGTATTTATATTAAATGAGATATGACATTCATAATAGTATCATATAGTTAATATAATTAACTCACTGCAGTTGTTTTCATCTGAATAGTCTCCACAGTCATAGACCCCATCGCACACATATTCTATTCCTAGGCATGTTCCATCGCCACAACGGATTTGGTCTGACCGGCATTGGCAGTTTGGAGTCTCGTCGCTTTGGTCCGCACAATCAGCCACCCCATCACAGTACAGGATTCCCAGGATGCAGCGCTTATCAACAGCACATTGGAAGTCACTTCCTGCACACTCTAATAGAAGAGAAATACATTTTGTGATTATTTTACCCTTCGAAAAATAACAGGTGAAATGTTAGAAAATAATTAAGGAACCTTTTTTTGTTTGTGATAAACATTTTCTAGACAGTCACCTTTTTCACAGTCACTATAATCTGTAGTCCACTTCGCCATCATAATCATACAGCACATCCAAACAATTACCATATATTCACATCCCTTTAGTTTCGTATGTTTGTGTTACATTAGGTAAATAAATGTTGGAAGTACTGGGTGTCTTACCAATAATCAAAGGTGTTATCTGTACTGTCACTGGCAGATGTGTTGTCAATGCTGTCGGGGTTGTCTGTCCTGTTAAACAAGAATAAAGTGCATTTGAATGAACATTCAGCTCCTGTTACTATGCCCCATGTCCCACCATTTCAACAAATGTTATTAGCTGCAATCAATTCAATAGCTTACCAGGACTACAGCTAAGGGTCGTTCTTGGCTATCATCGCTTTGAAGACAAAATATATAAACGTCCAAAAAGGCCCAGACAAAATTCTCTCTAAATTGAGTTCACTAACACAAATAGACAAATAGCCACTGATGCAGAGGAGATGCAGTCCAGTCACACAGCTTGTCTTTTCGAAATGTGTCCTCACCCTCAACTTATACATTTCTCCAATATAGTATAAATAAAACACAGGAACAGGTATACAATTGAAGTATTGAGTGACGTTGTCTCCGGCAGTGGACCAGATTCCAGGGCACGGATCAAGGCTTTGTAAACAACACAATGAATAATACAATGGTTTCCGAGGGTCAGAAAGTAATTAGAAGCACACATCAAGAGCAAGATCAAAGTTAATAATAGTAAAACATACTTACTTAGGGTATAACACAATAAATGCAGTACTCGGATTTAACAATGTGCAGTAATATAGCAACACAAAGTCACGTAATAAAAACGTGCTAAAATGTAAATGAAATTCGGAATGTCAATTTAATAAAATGTAAATAGTATATACTTTAGAATAAATATCATTATAATGTATAATAAAATTGAATTGAACATGTTACATCGTGTAATGGAGCTCTCGGATACACTGTCTTGTTCAGTTATATGTATATTTATAATGAACTAGCTTTACTACCCGGCTTCACCCGGGACTTGGATTCACCACGCCTGGCCGCCATTGTCTCCCAAGTGGCGATGTTCACACACCACACCAGTTAATCGTTTGAGGCTGAGTCGACCTAGGGGAGGCCCAGGAGCGGTTAAAATAATCGTCACCGATGGTGGCCGTGAGCGGGAATAGAACTCGGGTCGCCGGGTTCGTAGCGCAGAGTGCCAAGTACTACGCATGCGCGGGTGACATGACAGATGTGACGTCACAGCTCACTGGCCGTGCAAAAAATATGCATTATTGCGCCCCCCCCCCCAAAAAAAATATACCAAAGTCTATTTTTATAATTTTTGCATGGTGTACAGTCTGGAAAGTACCCACATGGCAAATTTCAAGTTTGTTGCATGTTGGGAAGTACGCTAAACATTTTGAACAGACACACATAATCACAAATTTCCCTTTTATATATATAGATAAAGTCCGCCGACTCACTGATAACTTAACAAGCAACCGCAAGTAACTATATACACTTGAGTAACTTAGGTAATTCTATTCTGAGACGACATGACTCTAGCCTTCCAAGACTACAAGGTGCCCACTCCTGGATGATGAAGACGACCCGCTCCAAGGTGACGACGGCGACGGCAGTTCCCCAACAACAGCAGCCCAGAGCCCCGGTTCACGCTGGCTCTTATCCCCCTCACGACCTGACCACGCCCCTATTCCCGAACCCTCTCTCACCGCACCTGGCCCTGTCTGTCTCTGCCCTTATTACAATTTATGACCGTTAGGTGCCGTGCTTTCCCTCACACGACCCTGTCAAAGCTTGTCGCATAATTATTATTAGCGACCACTTAAGTCCCACATTACCCTAACGTGACCCTGTCTGTTCCCGTTATATTAATTAGTAACCATGGCCACGGGGAGCCGTACTATCCCTACATGCTGTCCTTACACAAGTGTATGACATAGTGACATCAACTGGTTGGAAAAGGGAAGCACGGGTACAGGCACCACTATAAAGATCATCCAATCCCAAAAGGGAGAGGTATCTGTGCCAAAGGTAATGGGCGGGGCTGGCCGAGATACTCCGGGAACCGGCTAGAAGGTTCCACAAGAGGTCGTGGCTGGAGGCGGAGCCTAGCCGCACCTGCGGCAATATAAGCGGAGGCGGACTCGTGGTCGGTGTGGGGAGCCTTAGGTCCGGACTGCGTCGCTGCTCGCCGTTATCTCTCTCCGTCGTTCAGCCACGTGGCATATCTCCTGCGAAGTCCCACCACCCTCGCCGGCACGCCGTCAACCAGCGGTGAGGCCAGGAGTGGGTGGACAGAACCATGCTGTGGGATCGACCACGTGTAGGGATGCTAATATCTATGTGTGTACTCGGAGAAGGAAGAGGATAAGGTTGGCCTGTGGTGTGCCCAAATGTGAATAAAGAAGAGAGTACCCTCTACACGACGTGTCGCGGAAGTCGCTCATTACACAAGTATACCCCCAATATATCTTCATTCGATTTACAATGATTCGTCATGAATGAAGACCTTTTCGTTTGTTTCATTATTATTTTTTTTTATAAAAATTTGTAGAAAAAAATCTAAATACTTCTAGTAAATGCACATTGTTACATCGCTTGTTCGTGCGTGCATTGTATACAGTTCCATGCAATTTGCCTAGGTGCAGTGTTTCGTAGCTACACTACTCGTTTGTGTTATTTTAGGTTTCTGGGTGACGAAACATTTTCTTAGGAATGCACGTTAAGTTACATAATGGAGGCCCCATTATGGGAAAATACGTTTCAAAGTTTCACGTTTTAAAGAACCCTAAATCAAATGTTATACATCGAGGTATGGTCAAACGTTAATGGTGGAGGTGTGATAGGGGAGAGATAGAGGAGAGATGGTGGAAGGTGGGGGAAGGAGGACCGGTGAAGGACCAAAGGATATCAAGTTGTAGAGCTAGCTATAGACTTTTCAGGTCTGGCTGACACGGTGGCAGGCCTGCAGACCGAAAGCTCAGCCAGCCATACAAGCCAGCAGGCCGTCAGTCTTCTTCATTGGCAGACGGGCAGACCCATAGCTCAGGTAGCCCAGGTGGTTGGACAGGCAGGCAGGCAGACTGACCAGTAGAAAACCCTGTTAGGTAGGCAGCTGAACTGCAGGAAGGTGGGTTACAGTGGAAGAGGCCAAGCAGTGGAGAAAGCAGCCAAAGCGTGGAGAAGGATGCTATGCGAGGACGAGGCTGCCCCCGATCGATATAGACCACTTCTCTCAGTAACCTTAAACTTGTGCTGGTGCTTTAGTTTATGGCGCTATTGCTCATGCTATTAGAACTGTTGCTATTGCAATTGATTTTACTTTATATTAATATTTCCACTGTTATATTTAACTGTTAATCTATGCACATTCACAAACAAGGACATGAACCCTCATTAGATTTTTTGTCATGTGTAAACTCAAACATCTTACCTATAAACGTCACTTTTTGTCTGTCTGTCTGTCCGTCTGTCTGTCTGTCCGTCTGCGTATGCTCGCTTTGGAGAGATTTGGTGCTCGGGCCGTGGGGTTTAGGAAGAAATATTTTTGCAGGTGGACACGCCCCTGGCCCCATGGTGAATGTAGGCAATTCCGAGTTTTCGTCCGTCGCCTTTAAATCGGTCCGATTATCGATTTCGTGCGATTTCTCTTTATATAATTATTTACTCTTCATTTATTTATTTACTATTGCCGACCGGCGCTGACCACAGCGGTTGCCCCTGGCAATGGGTAGCGACGCATTCGCTGCGGGGTGGACGCCATTTTTAATTCCCGTTAAAAATATTCACACGCATTAACACGCGACGCTGAGGTAAATACATCAAAGTTTCACTTCCCCCCCACTCCAATGTGTGCACTTACTATTATAGGGTCGGTAGATAATAAAATTATAGCGATTATACAGTATTTTTGTAGCGCGGGGGGGGGGGTGGGTAGCGGCCCAGCCCCTAGCCTCAGCCAGGTGGTCCATCTAGGCGTGTCAGGAGAAGACTTTTTGTGCTATAAACTCGATATACCCAGCATTGCCCGGGGGGGAAATACATTTAAATCTTCTGAAAACTTTAAAATATTACATACCAATGAAAATACAACTGTGTAATTACTTTTAAACCCGACGCGCCAAGAATCGATTTTCTGAATCACGCAGAGGAATCGATGGTTGTTGATTCATTTAGAATCGCCCTGTTCCTCTTTAAAATAAGTTGATTATAGAGTCGATATAAACTGCTACGAATGGGAAATATCTGGCATTGACCGGGGCCAAAATATTATTAAAAACTCCTGAAAACTTTCAAACATAACATACCAATGGAAATAAAACTCTGTAATTAAACATGTAGCCCAAGCGCGAAAATAAGCGATTCTTTGCTATCGTTGCGAAGGATTCAAGGGTTGTAGATTACTTTAAAATCGCCCTATTCCCTTTTTAACAAACTGCGTGTCGCAGACACACACATTCACACATTTTGCTTTTACATTTAACATACAAAACGTCCGCATGTACTGCTGTCATCATAGACACAAATATATACACCCTCACCACTCTCCCTCACTCACCCTCTGTGATGATGGTGAGTGGTAAGAGAGTGGTGAGGGAGAGTGGTGAGGGTGAGTGAGTGGTGAGTGAGTGGTGAGGGTGAGTGGTGAGGGTGAGTGGTGAGTCGTGACGGTGAGTGGTGAGGGAGAGTGGTGAGGGAGAGGGGTGAGGGTGAGTGTTGAGGGTGAATGGTGAGGGTGAGTGGTGAGGGTGAGTGGTGAGGTTGAGTGGTGAGGTTAAGTGGTCAGGGTGAGTGGGGAGGGTGAGTGCTGAGGGTGTGGTGAGAGTGAGTGGTGAGGATGATTGGTGAGGGTGAGCGTGAGTGTTGAGGGAGAAGGGTGAGTGGCGAGGGTGAGTGGTGAGAGAGTGGTGAGGGAGAGTGGTGAGGGTGAGTAGTGGTGGTGAGGGTGAGTGGTGAGGGTGAGTGGTGAGGGTGAGTGAGGGTGAGTGGTAAGGGTGAGTGGTGAGGGTTAGTGGTGAGCGTGAGTGGTCAGGGTGAGTGGTGAGGGTCAGTGCTGAGGGTGAGTGGTGATGGTGAGGGGTGAGTGGTGAGGGTGAGTGGTGAGGGGTGAGTGGTGAGGGGTCAGTGGTGAGGGTGAGTGATGACGAAGAGTGGTGAGGTTGAGTGGTGAGTAGTAAGGGTGAGTGGTGATGGTGAGGGTTAGTGGT